CCCAAACACCCCCCCCGCCACAGCGGGACCCCCGACATGCCAACACCCTCCCGGGGACGCGGCCACATCGGGGACGTGGCACCAAGAGGAGGTAAAACCCCGCAGGACCCCACGTCCCAGCTTGCCCACCAGCACCCAAGGGTGCTGGGGACAAGGCACAGGGGGCAAAGCCCCGCAGGGGCTCCCCCTAACCCAAGGGTGTCCCACCACCCCACGACAAGTGATCCGACCCCAGAGTAGCCCCCAGGAATCTGGGGAGAGAAGGGAGAGGAAAGTAAACCCCGAGGCGGGGAGGCACCCACCAGGATGTTGAAGGGGGCGACACCTGCCTGGGTGCTGGGGGGCGGGTAGCCGAAAACCTCCACCTTAGGGTTCTTCACCGTACAGGAGACAGCGGTTCATCAGGCGGTTGACACGAGCCTCAGGGATGCCCAGTTTGCCCTTCAGCACCGAATCTTGGATGACAGGGAAGCTGGGAGACCTGCGGGCACAGAGTCCCGCTGAGGTCCCCCGGTTTGCCACCGTCCCTTACTCCTCCGGCACCCTGTGCCAAATTCACCCTTCGGCCAGTTTTTGGGAGCAACCTTAACCTTCAGCAGCGTCTAAGGGGGAAGTGGGGAAACTGAGGCACGACGCCAGGTCCCCAGCCACCCAGGGTGAGGGGATAGAGGGTCGGTCCCCTGGGGACACCGTCGGGTTCTTACTTGGGGATGGGGGAGAAGATGCTGAGGCCAGCACGAAACTTCTTGATGGTGCCGCTCGTCTTGAACCAACTGTGCCGCTTCTCCTGCTGGGTCTTGAGGAAATCATTGCTGAGATGTTTCCATTGCTGGGACGTGAACATGCCCAGGATCCTGGCAAAGAGGTAGCATGGGTGCCCGAGTGGGGTAGCAGCACCCATGGGTGCTTCGGAGCCCATTGAGCCTGGCACATGGGTGGTCCATGTCACCCAGCTCCTCCTCTTTCCCACCCAAAATGAGTGGTGAGCCTGTCACAGGGCTGTGTGGCAGGTAAAAGGTGGTGGTATGGGGACCTGTGGCACCTGGCCACTTTTGGGGCAAAATGGTGACCCCACAGCCCACCCCACCTGGCACCCTTGGGTGCCTGTTGTGTTTCGGTTCTTACTTCTTCAGCTGCAGACCCAGCCCGAAGCCCTCCTTGTTGGAAGGCTGGAAAACCTCGATGGATGGTTCTGCAGTGAGAGAGGAGAACAAGCCATTGGTGCCACCACTGTCCCCGTTCTGGGGGCATGTGGGGACACCATGTCCTGCCCGTCCCCACTCACCGGGGCCATCGAGGTACTGGGAGAGGGAGAAGCGCAGGCGGAGGACGATGGGCTCCGTCCGCAGCACCTTCCACGCTGTTGCCACTTCCTCCTGCCGAGGGAGAGCCGCGATTCGGCACAGTCACAGAGACCCCCAGCCAGGGAGGGAAATTTGGGGACCCTCCCAAGCACATGTACCCTCCCCTCCCTGTGCCAACACCGGCAGGGGCACCCCAGGGACTCACATCGAGGAAGCTGATGTTCACGTGGAGGTCGATGTCCACGTCATCGATGGTTCCATACTCCCTGCGAAGACAAGCAGCACCATGGTGGGGGGACGGGATGAGGCTGGCACGGTGCCAGAACTGCTGCCCGGTGCCCACCGTGCCGGGGCGGGCAGGCTC